AATATAAAATATATATTAATTATATATATTAATATACATATAAAATGCCTGGTCCTTAGCATTGACGTCATGGACGAGCAATCAATTTGAAAGAAATATCGAAGAAGTGACCTCTCGTTTATGTGAATTATTTTCTCACTATCAAAAAGTCCAATGCATAATTGTATGTGGGGTCGTCTGCCTTGTGGGGTATGTTGCTTTTCTTTGTGTCATTTCCGTCGTTTTTTTTTTTACAAGGATGATAATTAAAAATTGGAAGTTAAAAGATAAGAATTAAGTTAGTATTTTATTTTTAGTAAGATGTGATTATTAATTGAGAGTGTAATTCATCCGTAATTTTATTGGGTTGCAGTGATCATCCATAAATCATAACAGAAAATGCTCATTTCCGTCTATTTAGTGTCAGAAATAAGGCCAAAGGCACAGTTGTTAGTATAACGATGGAAGGAAATGGCAGACGCATGTAAATTATAGATTTATATGGAGCTTAGGGTTTTTATTTTGCTTAGATGGTTAAATGCTGGAAGCGGGGACCTTTGGGACAAGATAACAAAATTTATGAAGAGCAAGGGAGACTTTAGAGTGGAATATGTCGATGAGTTTGCAGGGAGGGTTTCGAATGAGCATTTTAGGTTTTGGTGTAAAATGGAGATGGGTTTATTTAATATATGTTTTTAAAATATATGTTAAAATTATATTAATTATATATTTTTATTTTTTTATCATAAATATATATTAAAAAATAAAAATTAATCATATTATTCAGAAATCAATAAAATTTAAATTTTTAAGTAAAAAAACAAAATTTATATATTTATTTTGCATCTTTCTCAAATATACTTTAAGGAAAACACAGTATTTCAATATTTTTCTCTTTCTGTGATGCTTCCCGTTCATCATCCAACTGTAATAAATTATTTTTTGAGACTGGAAGATAAAAGCAAACAAACCTAAAGAGTTAGGTCGTAATAGTTTGTTATACCAAATTTATGATAAATACTCTATCTATTAGCTTCTGTAATGTTATGGTGTAATAGTTAAAGGTATTACTTGTACCTCTTTTTATAACATTTTTATTTGTTAATAAAAAAATAAATTTAAAATATAA